GTCGGTTTGTCTCCGTTGCTAGTCGTCGGTTTGTCTCCGTTGCTAGTCGTCGGTTTGTCTCCGTCGCCAGACGTCGGTTTGTCTCCGTGGCTAGATGTCGGTTTGTCTCCGTCGCCAGACGTCGGTTTGTCTCCGTCGCTAGACGTCGGTTTGTCTCCGTCGCCAGACGTCGGTTTGTCTCCGTCGCCAGACGTCGGTTTGTCTCCGTCGCTGGATGTCGGTTTGTCTCCATCATTAGACGTCGGTTTGTTTCCGTCGCTGGATGTCGGTTTGTCTCCGTCGCTGGATGTCGGTTTGTGTCCGTTGCTAGACGCCGGTTTGTCTCCGTCACTAGTTGTTGGTTTGTCTCTGTCGTTAGACGTCGGTTTGTCTCCATCACTGTATGCTGGTTTGTGTCCTTAGAGCTCAGTTGGTCTTTGGCATTAGATGTTGTTTGGTCTCTTTATATGGTCCTTTCCCTTCTCTTTTGCTGGCGTTTGTTCTTGTCCTTATTTAGTTGTTTTTTTTCATTCTCCTTCTTTCTGTTTGTTTGTTCTGTTGCCACACTAAATTAGACCTTCTTGTCTATTTTGCCAATAAGAGCAATTTCTGTGATCTGTGTCCCCTTACTGTGGTGTGTGTGTGTGTGTGTGTGTGTTAGCTGGAAGGCTGCAGAGTAAGTGATACAGAGAAACAGCAATAATGAACCGAGACAAGTGCGTCTCCTTAGCATTTCTGGCTAATCACACACGTCGTTAAGAGGGCTGTGGGCGAAGATAACAGTTGTGTGTGTGTGTGTGTGTGTGTAATAGGTTTATGAAATGTGCTTATGTCTTTGATGGCAGGTGGGAGCATTTACCTTTGAAGTGGCAAATCAGGGCTCTGTGTGTGTGTGTGTGTGTGTGTGTAGTTGAATTCAGCATGGTGGAGAATTCCTTGTAGGGAATGGCATTCAGTTTGTGATAGTACTGTGACACACACACACACACACACTTAAAAATTGCTTAAAAATTCACAGAATATTTCTCTTTCTTTCTTTCTTTCTTTCTTTCTCTCTTTCTTTCCTTTTTATGTCCCTCAGTAGATGTGTGTATTTGTCCCTTAATAATCTTCTTTTTTCTGTTTGTGGAGAATTGATGATGGCGTTATTCACTTCAGTCTCAGTCTGATTCGCTCTCATCACCGTCCTGAAGTTCTACTTTGATATCTATTGAAGTGTGTGTGTATGTGTGTATTTGTGTGTGTGTGTGTGTGTGTGTGTGTGTGTGTGACTTTCTTGATTTATTCTGACTTTGAAGTTTGTAACTTTGTAGAAATGCTTGAGTGGGAATGTCACTGTCACACACGAGAACGCGGAACCAGCCAATAACAAGAAAAGTGACAGGCAAATAAAACCTCCTTCTCCTTCCCTCTTCTCTCTTCCCTTTCTACTTTTCCTTTCTGCTTCTCCTCCCCCCTTTTCTTTTCCCTTTCTACTTTTCCCTTCTCCATTCTCCTGTTACTGTCTCCTTTCTCCTTCTTCCTTGACTTTTCCCTTCTCCTTTCTCTTCTCCTTTCCCTTCTGTTTCCTCCTACTTTTCCCTTCTCTCCCTTTCCCTTATTGTTTCTCTTTTCCCTTTCCTTTCTCCGTTCTCCTTTTCTTCTTTGTTCTCCTTCCACTTTTCCTTCTCCTTTTTCCTTCTCCTTTTCCCTTCTTCTTTCCTCTTATCTATTTCTTTCAGTTTTTTATTTTCCATCTGCTTTTCCTTTTTAAAATTTTAGGGGGCCAAGCACCGCAGGCGTGTAGGTACCCTTAATGATTGTGTGTTTTCATCTTCTTCCTCTTCTTCTTCTTCTACTGCCTATGTGAGTCTGTGGCAACTCCTTATGCTTTTTCTGACACTTGGCACAGTGACAGAGGACAGTCTCAGCTCCCTTCTCAGCAGTTTTGGTGTACGCCACTCAAGCTGTCTGGCGCCAGCAATAGGGCAAAGTTGAACTTACGGTGACTCTGCAATGGAATGTAATAGAAATCAATTCCACTTTCCTCTGATTCTTTGGGTTATGCCGAGTTGAACCGACTCCATGATGTTAATTTGTGCCAAATTGGATTTTCCACCATTTTTAATAAGTTTTTTCTCTTCTCCTACAAACTTTGTTCCATCGTCACCAAATCTGAATCACAGCATCGTGAGAATATCCCAAAAAAAGTTGTTTTTTTGATGGTTTGTTGATAACACGCAAATGAAATTTTTTTTTTTGCTTTTCTTCTACAAATTTTGTCCAATCATCACCAAATTTGGCATGCAGCATTAGGAGACCAGACCAATAAAAAGTTCTTGCTCAGATTTTTTATGTACAGGACGGTTCGTTCATAACGCGCAGATGAATTTGAATTCACTTGAAGGTTCTGAGTGAAAGTTGGTCATTTTAAATTATAAACAAAACTTTTTTTTTTTTTGCTTCTTTTTCCAAAAATTTTGTTGAATAACCATAAAATTTTGAACCACTTATCCCACATGATGTTCTCTTTCTCTTGATTCCTTGGGAGGTGCTGAGAGTTCAACATGAACTAATGAATTTGTGATCTACTAAACAGTCGGCCATGTTGAAATTCAATAAAATCTGTTTTTTTCCTTCTTCTCTTATATATTTTGTCTGTTGTTGTTGTAGTTGTTCTTTCGGCTGCTCCTGTTAGGGGTCGCCACAGCGGCTCGTGGGTCCGCATGTTTGATTTTACGCAGGTTTTACACCAGATGCGCTTCCTGACGCGACCCTCCGGGCTTCTGGACCGGCACTGAGAGCGCACTCC